TCGGTGTCAAGTTATGCGAGTACTTGTTAAATTACTCCCAGGGGATTCAACACCACTCAATAACAAGTAAGATTAAAGGTCAAAGGAAGGAGCTTAAGAGTTGGAACCATGTGTGGCCTGGTGCATTAGCCGAGGTACAATATTCTTGTATGTATCTTCTCTTTTCTGCTTCAAGTAAGCAATGCATCTCCCAATCTTAGACTTTATATGTAAATATAGTTGATGACATTTCTCCCTATCTCTCAATTCTTGCTTTCTTCCTTTTATATAACACTACCAAAATTCCCACTTTTAGCAACTCCTTATGAGCAACATGGGTGTCTTTGTCGATGATATAAATTTTCACCCACAAGAACTATGTTGTTAAAAGCTATACAGTACATATTTCCACCTAAAAGTGAGCTCCACTTTCAACAACAAGGGTTATGTTGTTGTAATTTTTCGATCACCATATAGTGCATATTCTCACCTAAAAGTGAGTTCCACTTTCAGCAACAAGGGGTATGTTGCTGTAATTTTTCAATCACCATATGGTGCATATTCTCACCTAAAAGTGAGTTCCACTTTCAGCAACAAGGAACATGTTGCTAAAAGTGAATTTTAATGACAAGGAATATGTTGCTAAAAGTGAATTTCAATGACAAGAAATATGTTGCTAAAAGTGAATTTTAGTAATAAGGGACATGTTGCTGTAATTTTCTAATCACTGGAAGCACTAGCAATATATACCATATTGCTGATATTAGACATTACCAACAAAAACCACGTTACTGTTATTCCAATGTTTTTAGCAACCAAAAGTTAACAAGGAATATGTTGCTAATATTACCTTTCCCTAGTACTGCTCTGAAGGTAAGGATGACGATGGGGGGGATGATGACGGCCAAACCTTGGCTCAGTACTAGTGAGAACTTGGACATACCCACATGGGTTCTCATTGGGAGAACTAGATCTGGTTGAACCCAAGCTGGGTACTGGTGAGAACCCAAGCTATAGGTTCTTAATGGGAGAACTTGAGGTTATTTTGTTTTTTGTTTACTTTATTCCTAAATTCTTTCTAGCCAAACTCATGTTTATTTTAAATTGGAAAGCAAACCCATAGACCCATATTTTTGCAGCTTCAATTGATCTGGGTTCTTATGAAGTCTTTTGGGTTGTTTTATTTTGTTTTGTTTTCATACAAATTGGTTGGGTTCTTTCTTTCTTTTTCTTTTTGTTTGGCCATCTTGATTTCGTTTGTTTGTTTCTTTTTCAATCTTCTTCTTTTTATTTTAATTTTTTTTATTAAATACAAATTGATTCCTTTGTTTGTTTCTTTGTTCAATCTTCTTTCTATTTTTATTTTTATTTTTTTGGCTTATTTAACTTAGTTTATGATTAAGTAATTTCATTATATGAGTTCTAAAATTAATGAAAGAATCTTAAGGATTTTGCACATAAATTGAATTGGAAGTGGAAGGCTGGAGTTGGAGAAGATGAACAGTGGCATCGGAGGAGGAAAAGTAGTTTCCAATTTAATTTCCTTTAATTAATACTCAATTAAAACCTTTAATTACAAGTTACAAATTTTAATTATGTAAATCTATTAATACTTTCTTTGTTAAGAGGAAAGACAAAGTAATTCTTATATAAGAATAATAAAATTATAAATATTGATGTAGGGCCTACCATATGAAAAAGATAATAATAGGTAGGAGAGGATGAAAATATGACTAATTAGAGTAAAAAATGACAACTCATTAAAATTTAACGTATTTTTTTCCACGTCATTAGTAAAAAAAGAAAAAGAAGAAGAAGATAGATTTCGTAACAATTTAAGAAGTGATACATCCAGAGTCGACTATAAATGATCAAAATTCAACTTCCAAATTCCAGAGAGTTGAGAATATCTTGGTGCAATGTATAGTTGACTATCTATGTAAAAAGTCAACTCTTGAGCAGTAAAAAGTCGAATCTATCATCATAGATTCGACTTTTGAGCCTTCGAGAGTTAACTATATAAGCTCAACATTTAACTCCCAAATTCCAGAGAGTTGTGAACATCCTGGTGCATGGCATTGTCAACTCTCTATGTAAAAAGTCGATTCTTAAACAGTAAAGAGTCGACTCTAAAAATCTAAATTTGATTTTTAAGCCTTTAAGAGTGACTATATAAAGTTAACATTCGACTCTTAAATTCTAAAGAATTAAGAACGTTATGGGTGCTCGGTATAGTTGACTTTCTTTGTTAAGAGTTGATTCTTAATTTAAAAAGTCGACTATTGACTAAAAAAATTGACATAATTTTATGTGAAATGTCTATGTAGCCTTCTATGTGTCATAACTCAAATTTTTAATGAAATTTTTATTTTTAATAATGTTTTTTATTTTTGTTTTCCTTGTTAGGTTTGTGAGCAAAAATGGGATTTTATGAAGAGGATTGGAAAAGAAGATGAGAGAAGGACTTAGTTGAAGAAATGGAAAGTTGGAGGGATGAAGTTCATCAAGACAAATTTACAAACCCAACCCAAATCTCAATAATGAGCCCATTAAAGCCAAACACTACTAAATTTTCTATTTTCAGCAACATGCTTTCATGTTGCTGAAAATGGTTCATATGTTGCTGAAACTCTTTCAGCAACATGCCTCTAGTTGCTAAAACCTTTGTTGGAAATGCCTTGGTGGGTGATACATTAGCGACATAGAGCTTGTTGGTGATGTATCAGCAACATGAGATACATTGCTGAAAATATAATTTCAGCAACATGCCTCATATTGCTAAAAATTTTGCCAAATTTCGATAGAAAGTCCGGCCAATGTTTTGAATTTTTTTAGCAACATAAGCCACGTTGCTAAAACTAAAATTTCAGTAACGTGGCTTATGTTGCTGAAAGTTTAAGGGAAATGGTGGTTTTTCTAGGTGGTTTTCCTATTCCATTTTCAGCAACAAGAGCCACGTTGCTGAAAGTTTACGAATAGTACATCCCCTAGTTTTCAGCAATATAGGCTTTGTTGCTAATATTTATTTGCATACTATTTGTTGATATTAATTAACTATATTAATAAATTCTAGCTTAATTAATGCAAATTAAATAACATTAATTAATTAATGTCTTATTATGTATTTTACCAAACTTGAATTTTATTTTAT